ATCACTGCTCTTATACTTAGGTACTGGTTTTAAATTAAATAAGATTATATACCGAAACAATATTCTGATATTAGGCGTTTGCGTGACTATTATATATTTTGTGGTACTACTTGCACATTATTTTCATTTATATAATATTCGGACATGATAATTTTAATTTATATAATTTTATGCATGAAGTACCTGTAAATGAATAGTTTGATCTACTTTCTGGATTTTATTTGGAAAGGCAAGGAAACAATATGATGTATATTCAATCTGAATTACCGATTATGCTTGGGTATACTATTATGCCCCTAATTTTATATATCTATTTTTAACAACTCTAGATTACAGTGGTTAGAGGTTTGTGGTATCAAGGTTTGAGTATTATAATTACACACAATACATAGTAGTACTACGTAATAACAGGGTATAGACAGACACTCATGACAATTGAAATAATTTTTTATGAACTTAAAACGAATCAAAAGAAATTGTATGGGAAAATCAGTACATGTCGTTATGGTGTCTTGTAGTCAAAAAAACATCTCAAAGGCTTATATAACATTACTACAAGAAATTCAGAAATTCTAATTAAAATTAATAAATCAATTACGTCTCAACTAAAAGAGACATCTTTTCAAAATTTAGATTACCCAATTAATACTCATTTATCTCGACCATGTCCTAAATTTGATTTAAAAAAAGTAGTTGAGTCGAAAGCAATGGATGGCGACTTAAAAAATGCATCCCGTATTTTATTCTCAGACGACATCCTGGCTCCTCGTAATGTCGAAACTCTTGAAAGCCTTCGTCAAAAGCATCCTTCGGTCAAACCGTCTCAGGGTTTACCGCTGCCTCCCAAGACTTCTATGCAACCTTTACAAATTTCGGAAAAAGACACTTTAGAAGCAATTATGTCATTTTCGAATGGCTCTGCTGGCGGCATTGACGGAATTACGCCTCAACATCTTAAAGATCTTGTAAGCGCTTCTGCCGGTGACGCCGGCGGAGTACTTCTTAAAGACATTACAAAATTATGTAACTTTATGCTTTCTGGTAATGTTAATCCAAATTTCATTCCATTCTTATATGGGGCAAGATTATGTGCCTTCAAAAAAAAGGATAACGGTATCCGTCCTATTGCCGTTGGTTCCACATTTCGACGCTTAACTTCAAAATTAGCTTGCAGGTACATAATCTCTAACCTTAAGACCAAATTTCAGCCTACTCAACTAGGTTTTGGCACTAGAGGTGGCTGTGAGGCGGCGGTACATTCAGTGCGTACATTTTTAACAAACTCTGATGCAGATGTTCTTGTGAAGGTTGACCTAAGGAATGCTTTTAACTCTATCGATAGGGTAACCTTGCTGAAAGAAGTGGCTAACAATACCCCCGAAATTTATCATTACGTTTGGCAATGTTATAGTCAAAATACTAACTTGTTTTACGAAAACCATGTTATCGATTCTGCTGTTGGTGTTCAGCAGGGTGACCCTCTGGGTCCAGCACTTTTCAGTTTGGGAATTCAACCCATTATTTCAAATTTGAAATCCAAGCTGAATGTCTGGTACCTAGACGACGGTACACTGGGAGGTAGAGCAGATGACGTCCTCAGCGATCTTACTCATATTTTTCGAAATTTTAAAAATATTGGCCTTGAACCAAATAGCAATAAATGTGAAATATTTTTTTCCAATAATTTATCTACTTCTCATAGAGACACTTTAATTCAAAATTTTAATCATATTTGTCCAGGAATAAAAACTGTCAATACGGAATCACTATACCTGCTAGGTGCCCCGTTGTTTTTCGATAGTATTAAACCTGTTTTAAAAACAAAATTTGATCAGTTTTTAAACCACGTTGATAAATTGTATAAATTAAACCCCCACATAGCTCTTACTATTTTAAAATATTGTCTTCTTGTACCTAGAGTATGTAAATACTTACTCCGCTCGAGTCCAGTCTGGAAATGTTCGGATATTTTACAAGATATTGATAAAAATCTTAAAATTGCTATAGAAAAAATTCTAAATTTAACTTTAAATACAACAGCCTGGACTCAAGCTACTTTACCTATAAAATTTGGTGGCATTGGTGTGAGAAATCTTTCTAGCGTTGCATTGCCTGCTTTCCTTGCTTCCGTGCATAGTGTCAGTGACTTATGTAACATAATTTTAAATAATAAAGTAGACCTATGCTTTGCTACGGAGGCAGGGCAGACATGGCAAACGCTCTGTCCTGGTGAAAATATTCCACTGGAAGTTAACCAACAAAAACAGTGGGATATTCCGTTGGTACAGGGCGTGCAGAAGGATTTGTTTCATAATTTCCATAGTGACCAAGATAAGGCACGCCTTCTAGCTGTTTCGACTAAGGAATCTAGTCACTGGTTACACGCTTTACCATCAAGTAATCTCGGCACATTACTTGATAGGGAAAGCTTGCGTATTGCCGTAGGAATCCGACTAGGAGCAGCGATTTGTCAACCCCATCAATGCCCCTGTGGTAACAGCGTCGACAAGTTTGGGCTCCACGGACTTTCATGTAAGAAAAGCGCTGGTAGATTTTCACGACACAGTTCTTTGAACGATGTCATCCGAAGGGCTCTTGCCTCTATAAATGTTCCCTCGGTTTTAGAGCCTTGTGGAATATTTAGAGACGATGGCAGGAGACCCGACGGTATGACATTGGTCCCTTGGGAGAGAGGTAAAGCCCTAGTGTGGGATGCTACTTGCGTAGACACTCTGGCGGCCTCTCATCTCAGGGGTACCTCGTTTAAAGCCGGGGCGGCATCAGAGGCAGCTGAACTGAGTAAGTGGCGCAAATATGAGTCTCTGAGAGATGACTACATATTTGTGCCATTTGCTGTAGAGACTATCGGTCCGTGGGGTCCACGTGCGGTGAAGTTCCTAAAGGAACTCCATCCGCGGCTGGTCGTTGCTGCTGGTGATAAGAGGGCTGGTTCTTTCCTCGCTCAAAGGCTAAGTATAGCCATTCAGCGGGGAAACGCAGCCAGCGTTCTTGGCACGATACCGCGGGGAGTAGGACTATATGATAATTAAGTTTCTAGTTTTAGTTTTTTTTTTTTATTTTATTATCATAGTTTTTAATATTGTAGATAAAATTAAATATTATGTAAAGTTTTAAAATTTCGCGACTATCTATATTATGCTATTTTAAACTTAAAATCGTTTTGAAAGTCGAAAATTTAATTAAATTAAAATTTAAAAAAAAAATTAGTGAATTTGAATCTCCTGATTAAACTGCACTGAATACGGGATCCTAACTTATTCTGAGAGCAAACGTCTACGCGGGTAAGTACACGACTTCTTCATTGGCGCCCAACTTTGTCGAAGCATTAAAAATAGGATTTGATACATTATTAACGATTGACAATATTGAAATAAATAAATAACAAACGTAAAAAGAAGGAGTTTGATGAACGAATATTTGTTTATCACTTATTTTTTTTTATAGAAGAAGTGGATGATGTAGCCCATAGACATCTACATTAATCCTCGATTAAGAATCAAAATGCAGATACATTGTCACTCCTGAGGACTACAGTGAAATGTCTCGTTTCCAGTAAAAAGGCTCTCTGGTTCTCTTTATTCACCATACGAAACACAGCAGCATTAAGCTGCTATTTTACCACGGTCGGGCCGACCCATTCGTGCTACAATTATAATAAATATAACTGCAGCATGACCTAAGTAAAAAGTAAGTTTCAGAGTTCGCGAGCAACCCGGGTTCGATTCCCGTCGGCACCAATGAAATTGTCAATTGCAATTTTAAGTGTTGATTTACGACGTTTGGCTGTGAAGGAAAACATCGTGAGGAGACCTGTATGTCTGATAAATAAGAAAGAAAAATATTTCATAGACATGTGAAGTTCGTCAACACGCATTGGGACAGCGCGGCTGACACTTCCTTGCCCTAAAAGCTTTCTCAGAAATGAGAGGAGGCCTGTGCCCAGCAGTGGGACGTGTATAGTCTGTAACTTTACTTTTACTTTTTTACTTTAATTAATAAAACCTAAATTTATTTACATCGCTAAACCGGCCATTTTAACACAATAAAATAATAGCTAATTTAAATTATATGATGTTGCGATTCATTAATGATGGCGTCGACTACCCCATTGTGTTATGATTAAACGAGAAATGTATTAGGTAACAATATCTATTGTCTTACTAGAAACCTAGTCGTAGTAAGCTTAGTGAATTTTATTGGGCTTAAAGCTGAAAACGTGAACTGCGCGGATTTTATCGCGTTTAATTTTAACTTGTAACCAACTGCAAGACTTCAAGATACTGTGAGCTAATCCTGCGTAGATTGGAAAAGAAAATATATTTAAACGTTGAAAGTAGCCTTCGTTTACCATGACATTAGGACAAAAACACCTTCGTGATAAAATAAAGCGTTCAAAATGTCGGGAATTAAAAAAGTTAAAATTAAACGCGATAAAATCCGTAAAATTAGTTTTATCAATACTGTTTCTGCTCCGATGAAAGTAAGAGAAATACACTAGTGCGTTGTTGAGGGATCTGTTTACTGTTTTGCCAGCAAATGTTGCGCTGGACATGGCCAGTACATGGTTGTGTTTTCATCAGTTGTAATTTATCTTGGTTGCGTTTAATAGAACAAGCAATGGATATCAGCTTTCGACGTCCTACTGCTGGTCTCAGGTCTCCTCAAATTTCTGAGAGGGTTTTGGATCGAGGATGAATTCGCGGCGCTACTCCGACAAGTGTTGGCAATTCACACGTTTTTAAATGTTTTTAATTTTTCAGATATTCAAGCTGTTTTGTTTGCCTTTGCTTCAAGATTCTTTTTTACCTTCACTGTAGACACGCGATAAATAAGTAAATAAATTTTTTGTAAAGTTAGTTATGCCGACGGGAATGTTCACTGTAAAAGGGTGCCCTGGCTGAATTACCAAAGCTCCATCCAAGCTTAAATAAAATATAAATGTGAAAGATTGCTTTCATAGTTGCGTTAATTATCAACAGGCTGGGGAGTATCCGGTGGCCGGCGTGGAACCAGATTACGGGCAATATGTGTCGTCACCAGCAGCTCACTACAACCACATGGGACACCTTACTATGGCACCCTCGCAAAAGTACCCACACGTGAGTTATATTAAATATTACATCACCATCATAGTTGCGGGTTGCGGGCGATCGTAAGTTCACTGTTGAACATAGGGCTGCCCTAAAACTGCCACAAAACACGCTTCCTTTCATGTATCATCAGATCGTGAATCCATAATATAGTGAGAGGATGGCCATACACTGTGCATTACTTGATAAAATTCAATTGCACATAAGATTCTTTAACAGTAGTTAAAGTAACGCGAGAGTTTAGGTAGTATATTATACTTTTAAGTAGGAATCTTGACTAACATCGATTGCTTTTACGACCTGTTACGGGATCTAACGAGAAATTCATTAGATAAATTTTGTTATGGAAATCTGGTAATTGTATTAAATTGTTTTATTATTTATATATATCTTTATATAAAAAAAATTACGTGTCACGTTGTTTGTCCGCGATGGACCCTAAACTACTGAACTGATATATATATATTAAGGTATCATCCCCTTCAGGCTTTGCACCCATCTTTCAAACATTCTGTATTATTATAAAATGTTAAATTAAAATTATATACAATTTACTTACTTCAATTTACAGTTTCTTATATTTATATTGACGGCTCCGTGACGCAGTGGCTTAGCAATAAGTTGCAGCGCTAAGGGCCGCGAGTTCGAATCCCGCACGGACTAAGTAATTGTATGGCCTACAAATTATTGTTCCGGGTCTGGATGTTTGTCCTTGTGAAATTTATGTATGTACAGGATACAGGAAAAATCCTAGTGTGGAGGTATTTTTTTAAAACAGATATGAGATTAGGTTAAAACTTAAAATACTCGTAATTAAAAAGTTATTAATTAATGATCTACAAACTACGAAAGTGGAACATATTTTCGTCCGTCGATAGTTAACTTTTTAATTATGTTTCAACAATCGTGTCTGTTTCAATCTAAATCTAATTCCAAATTTGAATGTTCTCATTAATGAAGAAAATAACTTAGTTGACAATGTTCATTTATTACAAAATTAAAAAAATAACAAGGAAAAAAAATTATCTAACAATTATATACCAAACAAATTCAGGATGATCTTTACGTATGTATGTAATGAAGGTTTAAATGCAACATGTACTCATCGGCGAAGGAGGAAAGGTGTCCATAAAAATATTTTGGAAACATTTGGAGTACCAAGTAACCGGCTCGCTGGCCTTTGAAACTACTTCAGAAGCGCACTCGCAAGGTTCGGGCCGCTCATATGATATTTATGAGAAAAACAAGCTATGCTATTTCGTCATCAGTATTACCTTGAAGGCAAAGTCTCTTCATATTAAACCTTTGTCTATGTACGTCATATTTTTGTCACACAACCATGGACGCGCGGTCTCTCGGGCCGCTATCTTATGAAGCCTAAATATTACATAAATATTAATTTTATTTTATGCTATTATATTTATTATTATCTGGGCATATTAAAATGAAATAATTTTGATGATTTTAATCAATCTTTATTTATTTCATACTTAAATGAACCATATCAACTGTTAAAGGCACTATTTGGCATAAATTTGCTAGAGATCAGTTTTAGGACTAAAAACTTAAATCAATTAAAGTTTTAAGAAAAAATTATATTCTTTTCTATAAATCTAAGGCTGATACTAACATAAAAACAAATTAAAATCTTCTCAAATTCAAATATAAAAATTCTGGCAATGGTCCACTATGTATCAAATTGTTAGCAGTCCTTGCATAGGGGTTTGGAATACTGTAAATATATATTTACATACCTGTTTACAATTAATAACCTGTTTACAATTTCTACAAGCATAGTTGAACTTCCTCTTTAGTTTTACGGGACAAAGAAGACATTTTTTTCGCAAGACATTTTTTTCGCTTTGAGTGAGTCTCCTGAGTCAGTCTCCTGAGTAGGAGGTTCGTCTGGAGGCTTACCTACCCCAAAAACTCGCATCAGTGTTATTTTTAGTTCATTAGCTATATTTGGCTTTATGACACGTCTTTGCATATGTGGAACGACTAAAGATCGTGCAATATTCTTAGGAAATCACCTCTTTCTGTATTTTTGGCCGATTGTTAACTGTATAGAACATAAGCATTGATACCTCATAGGTCAAGACTTCATCGACTCGACTAATATTGCTCACACGCTGTTGCAGCGGTGACCTTGACGTTTATTTTGATGTCGATGCACTTTAAGTACTATTTATTGAAATTTTGATTGAAAATAATCCAAAAGAGAAAACAAATTCCGTCAAGATTTTTTATATAGAAAACGTGGACGTACGGTCCCACAGACCGCAGTCGAGGTTTAAAGTAACATAACTCATCTAATTTGCAGCCGGCGACACAACTTACCACCTCAACACACGTTTCGCCAATAAAACTAAAGCGCGCTTTAAACGCGGGAAGCTAGGGGAAAGGGGTAAATACGAAAATTACAAAATTCTCATTTGTTATTTTTTGGATGTAGGTGTAATACTTATTGTTCTAACTAACTAAAACATTCCTTCATGGGAAGCGTAGATGATCATGTTCTGGCGAGGGGACGGTTATTTAGATTGTCGCGATTTCTACAGGATTTTCTATGTTATCTGCGTGTAAAATTAATTCTCGAGGAAGTGCTTTCATATTTGTCCCATGTTTGTCCTCTCCAAAGAAGCTTTCAGCACCGGGAATGTGTAGATACCTAGGATCTACCCGGGCACATCCAATGTAACGATTTCGTAGTGCAAGTGATTTTTTAGTGCAATTAAATGAAATTTTATCTTAACTTAACAAACGTAGGAAATGTCTACTTAGTCTCCGCAGTTAAAACTACGAAGCTTAGAGCGCATTGTTTATGTCGTCAGGTGATGGATTCGGTGTCGGTGAGCGGGGGCGTGTACGGCGGCGGGGCCGGCGGCGCTCACTACGGTACTTACGCGCACTATGGCGCCGCTTACCCCGCGCAACCCGCCTACCTCGTGGAGCCGGGAACACAAGTGCCTGCGTACATGACGCAGGTTAGTTCGCAAGCAAGAGTTTTTGTTTATAAGTTTATATTTACACGTACTAGAAATATGCTGCAGCTATATTATGGTATTAGCACGAAAGGGTAGGCTCGACCGAGGAAGCACTACACAGAATACCAGCGTGAAATAGCAGCTTAATGTTTCTGTTTTCTATGGTGAGTGCAGAGAACCGGTGGACCCCTTTTACTGAAAACAAGGCATTCCACCTTAGTCTCATCGCAAACGAGGATGGATGTAGATGTCTATGGGCCACAGCAACCACTTACCATCAGGTGGACTGTGTGCTCGTTTGTCACCCTATTTCTAAAAAAAAAAGTCTTCAGGGGTGGCAACGCATCCGTATTTTGATTCGTAATTTAGGATCTATGGGTCACAGCATCCATTTACCATTGGGCGGACTGTGGTCTCGTTTGTCACCTTTTCTATAAAAATTATTGAAATAAGCTAAGAATTTAATTTATGGTATGTGTCTATTGCAACCAATGGTCATCTGCACCAATATTCATACAAAAAGGGCTACATATGCGATGTTACCCCAGCAGCCTTGGCCAAGTTGACTTTCTACAATCATTAAAGCGATTGGAATCTATGTTAAGTCATTTGACAGTCACGTTTGAGGTATGACCATAACGTTGAGATTACGTCATTACCATTCATTTTTTTACTTTTCTATTTTTAGTGCCAACAATTACAGAAAGGCAATTTCGCTAGCCCTTTTGCGGTGGAATGTGTTTCATTGCTTGTAATTAAACTAACTCTACATACCTTTCAAACCGAAACATAACACTAAACTACTTTGTAAATCCTAAAAAATCCGAATAAACCACTTTGTAAATGACTACAATAGTACACAAGACATTAAGACATTAAGATTACACAACTTTGTCAGATGATAAATACAACCATCATTATATGATATGATACATACATAGGTATAATGATGATGAGTTAAATAATTATTATATGATAGACACAGCTATCATTATACGTGGTAGAGCCATGCTGCAGCTATATTATGAGTGAGCTCGACTGGGATAGGACCACCCTCTCACAGAATACCAGCGTAAAATAGCAGCTCAATGCTACTGTGTTTCGTATGGTGAGTGTAGAGAACCGAAGACCCTTTTCACTGGACAGGAGGCATTCCATCTTAGTCTCACAGGGGACAACGCATCTGCATTTTGATTCGTAATCGAGGATAGATGTAGATGTCTATGGGCCACAGCAACTACTTACCATCAGATGGACTGTGTGCTCGTTTGTCACCCATATTCTATAAAAAAATAAACAGTAAAACAAATAGTAAATAAAAGTAAAGTTATAGCTTTTATACGTCCCATATCTGGGGACAAGCCTCCTCATTTATACGAAGGTTATGGAGCAATTAGTCCGCTGCGCTGCTCTATCGCGTGTCGGCAGATTTCACATGTCCTCAAAATATTGTATTTCTTAGACATGCAGGTTTCGTCACGGCGTTTTATTTCACCGTCGAGCACGTGGAAAATCTGCACTTAAAATTTCATTGCTGTCACTGGAAATCGCTTACTGTGAATCTTACAACTAACACCTAGCCGCTGAGCTACCACGGCTCTTCTAACTACTACTGACAAATAGTAAAGTAAACATTTTTGTTATTGCGAAATAAAAAGTAATGTCAAATTAATGTCAAAGTAATGTCATCTTTATTAAAAATTGCAGGAGTACGTGGAAGGCGGAGGTAGTGCATCACCAAGGAGCGCTTCGCCTGGTGCGCTACCACCGCAACATAATCTTCATTTGCAGCAGAGGTTCGTATAATGTAATATGCCATATATTTTTCGCCAAAACTTAGGAAATTAATTTCTGAAACTAAGTCTCTTGATCGAACTTTCAAGTGCTGAAAATGAAATTTTGAACTTTGCTTTATTACTACAAGTGCTTTTTTTAAAAAAGTAAAATATATTATTATTATTCAACCCTAGTAATTCACAAAATATTTATCAAAAATTTTATTTCTATTCTTTCTTCCAAAAACACTATCTCTTAGGAATAAAAGACTGACAAGAAATCAGGCTTTACATTGATCTTATTTCACTATAAGCCAATTTATTCTGTGGTATTACAGATATATAATAATAAGATTGTATGTGCATAGATAATAAACTACATTTTGCTAAAGATTAAATTAGAACTCTTAAATTGAATCACTTGGTTTTCTTACATATTTTTTTGGTATTGGTATGAAATTACCATGTTACTATTACACTCAAAACAACAAGTAACATTAAAAACTTATTCCTTAGGTATGATTCTGCATCTCTGGAGCAATTAGGACGGCACTATTGCGTGACGTCACCGCGCGGCGAGTACGCAGGCGATGCGTACGGCTACCAACACTATCCGACAGCGTACGACCCACAACCACACCAGCCACCACCATTCAAGGTTATAACTTATATACGTGCATTAAAGTTTACATTATTCTGGTTTTTTTTTTATTGAGGATGTGTTTGTTATAGTAGAGGATTCTAAGGTCTCTTAACCTTTTTAATTAAATATTATACCTACTAACTCATTAGTTTGATTTCTGTGGGATCTTCTACCTAATCAGCTCGTAAAAGTCCAGACATGGACCTATTCCGTTGTAGGAAATTTGCTTTAATCTTCACGCTTAGAGCGCGGATTGATGATCGCAGTACTTCGTCGCGCACCTGTGAAGCTGCGCCTCGTCGTTGGTCAGGATATGTTACGTTTGGCGTAAAAGTCGGAAGCCATATATCATTTCCCATGGTCGCCTCCTGCGACACTTATGAGGTGAAGTGAGGTGGTGGACATTTACACCGCCACTATATGGGACTTTATTTCCGAGGGATGACAAAGACTTCTTATTTTTCAGGATTCCCAGAACGGTTTAAGCCTTGGAAGTACCGGAGGGCAGTCAATGTATGGAGATGAAGATGAACTACAAAAGCAAATGGCTGGAATGGCGTTAGGTGAGCGTCTTCTTAATTCGTGTAAGAATAATTTAATGTTAAAGAAAAGCCTCATTGTACTTTATTGTACCCTTAAAACTACGATTTGCTTAGTTTTAACATAAATATACATGTAACATAAATATTCTTTAATGCTTTATCTATGCAATTTGGACAACCATAAAATGCATCACTTCCTCCCACTTTGCCTCCTATATATTTATTTTAACTCGCTAGCACTGCTGCAACATATTTTTACTAATTTATTAGGCATAATTAGGTAGGGAAGCTAATTATGCCTAATAAATTAGTAAAAATATGTTTACTGCTAACAAATAACTATAAATACATATTATTATATGATGGTCCTTCGAGCCAGATATTTATGTTTTTTATTTGTATTTTTTTTCAGTTCATCCTAGTGTGGGTGGTCGAGAGGACGGCGGAGGACTACAATGGCGTGACCCAAATTTGCCCGAAGTAATCGGTTTCTTAAATTCGCCTTCGGACGTGGTTAAAGCTAACGCTGCGGCTTATTTACAGCATCTTACTTATATGGATGACCCGAACAAGCAAAAGACAAGGAGTTTAGGTATGATTTCTCTTTTGAGACTTATTGTTTGTATTAAATACTGGTACAAACTAAAACATGACATTTTGCCTAATAGTAATATTTTAATTTGCGGGACGCAGCAGTGTGGGAATGCGATACATAAACACTACATCGTTAATATACTGTTGCCAGTTCAAGTATTTTATTTTACTGTAAAAGAATTTGTAAATCGATGAATCTGATTCAATATTAAAAACAAATCTGATTTATTATTTTATTTTTAATTGATTTATGCATGCGTAAGTACATAACCACATCTTACACTGAATTAAAATTTTATGAATCGTGTACATAAATGTTTACTACAAAAATTGTATACTGGTACCTAAAAGGTTCTGGCGCTGCAAAAGCAAAAAAACGATATGACTTAATACTGAAATTTTAGGGAGCCCTTATTTAGCGATATCGTTTTCCATGCTTATATTATTTATGCTATAGATATTTATGTCACGACGGTGGGCGAGCCTTACTTGTAGTTGTGATGTGTTTTTTATATAGATTAAGGATGACAAACGAGCACAGTTCACCTGGTGGTAAGAGTATGTTGTGGCCCATAGACATCTAAATCTAAAATGCAGATGCGTTGTCATCCATGAGGACTAAAATGGAATGCCTCGTTTCCAGTAAAAAGGGTTGCCAGTTCCACTCACCATACGAAATTAAGCAGTATTGCGCTGCTTTTTTTACGCTTGTATTCTGCAAATGCGTGTGTTCGTTTGTCACCTTTGTTCTATTAAAAAAATACCATAAAACCAGTATTTCTGCTTTCTATAAAATTCCCTTTTAAAGTGCGAACACAGAGTGTATGTGTTATACGGTATGTGTTTGTGGTTGCAGGTGGCATCCCGCCGCTGGTGCGGCTGGTGTCGCACGAGAGCGCGGAGGTGTGCCGCAACGCGTGCGGCGCGCTGCGCAACCTGTCGTACGGCCGCCAGAACGACGAGAACAAGCGCGCCATCCGCGACGCCGGCGGCATCCCCGCGCTCATGGCGCTGCTGTGCCGCGCCACAGACATGGAGGTACGCAACCTGTCGTACGGCCGCCAGAACGACGAGAACAAGCGCGCCATCCGCGACGCCGGCGGCATCCCCGCGCTCATGGCGCTGCTGTGCCGCGCCACAGACATGGAGGTACGCAACCTGTCGTACGGCCGCCAGAACGACGAGAACAAGCGCGCCATCCGCGACGCCGGCGGCATCCCCGCGCTCATGGCGCTGCTGTGCCGCGCCACAGACATGGAGGTACGCAACCTGTCGTACGGCCGCCAGAACGACGAGAACAAGCGCGCCATCCGCGACGCCGGCGGCATCCCCGCGCTCATGGCGCTGCTGTGCCGCGCCACAGACATGGAGGTACGCAACCTGTCGTACGGCCGCCAGAACGACGAGAACAAGCGCGCCATCCGCGACGCCGGCGGCATCCCCGCGCTCATGGCGCTGCTGTGCCGCGCCACAGACATGGAGGTACGCAACCTGTCGTACGGCCGCCAGAACGACGAGAACAAGCGCGCCATCCGCGACGCCGGCGGCATCCCCGCGCTCATGGCGCTGCTGTGCCGCGCCACAGACATGGAGGTACGCAACCTGTCGTACGGCCGCCAGAACGACGAGAACAAGCGCGCCATCCGCGACGCCGGCGGCATCCCCGCGCTCATGGCGCTGCTGTGCCGCGCCACAGACATGGAGGTACGCAACCTGTCGTACGGCCGCCAGAACGACGAGAACAAGCGCGCCATCCGCGACGCCGGCGGCATCCCCGCGCTCATGGCGCTGCTGTGCCGCGCCACAGACATGGAGGTACGCAACCTGTCGTACGGCCGCCAGAACGACGAGAACAAGCGCGCCATCCGCGACGCCGGCGGCATCCCCGCGCTCATGGCGCTGCTGTGCCGCGCCACAGACATGGAGGTACGCAACCTGTCGTACGGCCGCCAGAACGACGAGAACAAGCGCGCCATCCGCGACGCCGGCGGCATCCCCGCGCTCATGGCGCTGCTGTGCCGCGCCACAGACATGGAGGTACGCAACCTGTCGTACGGCCGCCAGAACGACGAGAACAAGCGCGCCATCCGCGACGCCGGCGGCATCCCCGCGCTCATGGCGCTGCTGTGCCGCGCCACAGACATGGAGGTACGCAACCTGTCGTACGGCCGCCAGAACGACGAGAACAAGCGCGCCATCCGCGACGCCGGCGGCATCCCCGCGCTCATGGCGCTGCTGTGCCGCGCCACAGACATGGAGGTACGCAACCTGTCGTACGGCCGCCAGAACGACGAGAACAAGCGCGCCATCCGCGACGCCGGCGGCATCCCCGCGCTCATGGCGCTGCTGTGCCGCGCCACAGACATGGAGGTACGCAACCTGTCGTACGGCCGCCAGAACGACGAGAACAAGCGCGCCATCCGCGACGCCGGCGGCATCCCCGCGCTCATGGCGCTGCTGTGCCGCGCCACAGACATGGAGGTACGCAACCTGTCGTACGGCCGCCAGAACGACGAGAACAAGCGCGCCATCCGCGACGCCGGCGGCATCCCCGCGCTCATGGCGCTGCTGTGCCGCGCCACAGACATGGAGGTACGCAACCTGTCGTACGGCCGCCAGAACGACGAGAACAAGCGCGCCATCCGCGACGCCGGCGGCATCCCCGCGCTCATGGCGCTGCTGTGCCGCGCCACAGACATGGAGGTACGCAACCTGTCGTACGGCCGCCAGAACGACGAGAACAAGCGCGCCATCCGCGACGCCGGCGGCATCCCCGCGCTCATGGCGCTGCTGTGCCGCGCCACAGACATGGAGGTACGCAACCTGTCGTACGGCCGCCAGAACGACGAGAACAAGCGCGCCATCCGCGACGCCGGCGGCATCCCCGCGCTCATGGCGCTGCTGTGCCGCGCCACAGACATGGAGGTACGCAACCTGTCGTACGGCCGCCAGAACGACGAGAACAAGCGCGCCATCCGCGACGCCGGCGGCATCCCCGCGCTCATGGCGCTGCTGTGCCGCGCCACAGACATGGAGGTACGCAACCTGTCGTACGGCCGCCAGAACGACGAGAACAAGCGCGCCATCCGCGACGCCGGCGGCATCCCCGCGCTCATGGCGCTGCTGTGCCGCGCCACAGACATGGAGGTACGCAACCTGTCGTACGGCCGCCAGAACGACGAGAACAAGCGCGCCATCCGCGACGCCGGCGGCATCCCCGCGCTCATGGCGCTGCTGTGCCGCGCCACAGACATGGAGGTACGCAACCTGTCGTACGGCCGCCAGAACGACGAGAACAAGCGCGCCATCCGCGACGCCGGCGGCATCCCCGCGCTCATGGCGCTGCTGTGCCGCGCCACAGACATGGAGGTACGCAACCTGTCGTACGGCCGCCAGAACGACGAGAACAAGCGCGCCATCCGCGACGCCGGCGGCATCCCCGCGCTCATGGCGCTGCTGTGCCGCGCCACAGACATGGAGGTACGCAACCTGTCGTACGGCCGCCAGAACGACGAGAACAAGCGCGCCATCCGCGACGCCGGCGGCATCCCCGCGCTCATGGCGCTGCTGTGCCGCGCCACAGACATGGAGGTACGCAACCTGTCGTACGGCCGCCAGAACGACGAGAACAAGCGCGCCATCCGCGACGCCGGCGGCATCCCCGCGCTCATGGCGCTGCTGTGCCGCGCCACAGACATGGAGGTACGCAACCTGTCGTACGGCCGCCAGAACGACGAGAACAAGCGCGCCATCCGCGACGCCGGCGGCATCCCCGCGCTCATGGCGCTGCTGTGCCGCGCCACAGACATGGAGGTACGCAACCTGTCGTACGGCCGCCAGAACGACGAGAACAAGCGCGCCATCCGCGACGCCGGCGGCATCCCCGCGCTCATGGCGCTGCTGTGCCGCGCCACAGACATGGAGGTACGCAACCTGTCGTACGGCCGCCAGAACGACGAGAACAAGCGCGCCATCCGCGACGCCGGCGGCATCCCCGCGCTCATGGCGCTGCTGTGCCGCGCCACAGACATGGAGGTACGCAACCTGTCGTACGGCCGCCAGAACGACGAGAACAAGCGCGCCATCCGCGACGCCGGCGGCATCCCCGCGCTCATGGCGCTGCTGTGCCGCGCCACAGACATGGAGGTACGCAACCTGTCGTACGGCCGCCAGAACGACGAGAACAAGCGCGCCATCCGCGACGCCGGCGGCATCCCCGCGCTCATGGCGCTGCTGTGCCGCGCCACAGACATGGAGGTACGCAACCTGTCGTACGGCCGCCAGAACGACGAGAACAAGCGCGCCATCCGCGACGCCGGCGGCATCCCCGCGCTCATGGCGCTGCTGTGCCGCGCCACAGACATGGAGGTACGCAACCTGTCGTACGGCCGCCAGAACGACGAGAACAAGCGCGCCATCCGCGACGCCGGCGGCATCCCCGCGCTCATGGCGCTGCTGTGCCGCGCCACAGACATGGAGGTACGCAACCTGTCGTACGGCCGCCAGAACGACGAGAACAAGCGCGCCATCCGCGACGCCGGCGGCATCCCCGCGCTCATGGCGCTGCTGTGCCGCGCCACAGACATGGAGGTACGCAACCTGTCGTACGGCCGCCAGAACGACGAGAACAAGCGCGCCATCCGCGACGCCGGCGGCATCCCCGCGCTCATGGCGCTGCTGTGCCGCGCCACAGACATGGAGGTACGCAACCTGTCGTACGGCCGCCAGAACGACGAGAACAAGCGCGCCATCCGCGACGCCGGCGGCATCCCCGCGCTCATGGCGCTGCTGTGCCGCGCCACAGACATGGAGGTACGCAACCTGTCGTACGGCCGCCAGAACGACGAGAACAAGCGCGCCATCCGCGACGCCGGCGGCATCCCCGCGCTCATGGCGCTGCTGTGCCGCGCCACAGACATGGAGGTACGCAACCTGTCGTACGGCCGCCAGAACGACGAGAACAAGCGCGCCTGTCGTACGGCCGCCAGAACGTCGAGAGCAAATTACGATATAAAATACCTACTAACATATCATCCTGTGGGTGTCGTAAGAGGCGACAGAGGGAAACTGAAAGAAGGGATGGGCATCAGTATCTTCCTTAATAAAAACCCAAAATAATAATAATAAACTGCGGTTGCCCACCCGCCTGCCAAGCGAGGTAAGTAATCTATGGGTGAGGCCTATTTTCAGCAGTGTACTATTATAATCTGTGATGATGTAATTAAAATATGATGAGGATGCGACAGCCCTATCTGCGCTGTTTTGTCCGATTCGGACAAAGGCCGCTAAATATACGGTCCATATGCAACAAGTGCAACCCGCGCTTATGACTTTGTTGTGCCTGACATTGGCTTGTAGGTTTTGTTTTTTATAACAATAACAAATTGGTTAACCATTTAGTTGAAGGTACATAACTATGAGTTCATAGACATCTGCAATCAATAAAAAAGAAGGACGTAGGCTTGTTAGTATTTTTATATATACATAATATGTTATCTCACTATACTATGTGTAAAGCTGTATTTATTCGTAACAGGTAAAGGAATTAGTTACTGGAGTAATTTGGAACATGTCATCGTGCGAAGACCTAAAGCAGTCGATTATAGATGACGCAGCTCAAGTGATAGTGAACAAGGTCATCATACCGCATTCTGGATGGCATCCCACCAACCCTGGCGACACATACTGGTCCACAGGTAAGTTAATATATCGTTATAGTGCTATACTAACTTATTAATGCATATTTCTTTGCAATTGATCACTTTTAGTAATAGGGGACCAAATTCGAAAATAAACGGATCCATCCCAAATGTCTGAGCTATCATGAGTAGATAAACTAGAGTTTTGAGACCTAGACAAAGGTTTAAAAATAGTGGTCCACGTTCCATATAAGGTTTTTGGCAACAGTCATGTCGCCAGCAATCCCAGATGTCGGGATGTCTTCTTCGAGAGGGTCATGTTTGGGGCCTTAGGTTAAAGCCGCGTATCGATTATGCGCTTCAAGAGATCGAACATTGGAGCGTTCCATCCGCGTGAAATGGATACCGCCTTGGAACGCGTGCCAAATTGTTCATTAGAACGCTCAAATGTGGAGCGGGACGTTCCATCTGGTGTTACTTTTTTACCGCGTATCAGAGTAGATAAGTTATGGCGCGCGCGCCGGTTGGGACGGTTGTTTTCATCATTCGTGTATTCGTTGCGTTCCAAGCTATGGATAACCAAAGTTCCCGTAAATTAATAAAATTATATGGTTCAAAAGAACTGCTGTGTCTGTCTGAAAAGAGAACTGTGAAAGCGGGAGCTGCTCGTACATGACCGACATACATGTTGAACGCACTGCTCAGCGTGGTCATTCATGGCGCGCGTAATCGATACGCGGCTTAAGGCTAAGAGCTCCGTTATTCACGATGTCCGAATGTTCCAATATCTTAGGAAAAAAAAAAGCTTTTTTTTCTAAGGAAAAGGAAGTTAGGAAGGAAGGACAGTTGTAAGCGGGAAGTTGTATTGGGTGAGGCTTGTACAAAGGTGCATTTTTTAAATTAATTTAAACTTCTAAAATGTCTAGAGGTAGACTGATGCCGTCAAGACTCGTGTTGTCTCCTATCACTTTAAGTCAAAGTGACTGTGTTACCACAAGATATATCGACATCTTAAAATTGAGTAGCGTTTGAGAATTTGTTCATCAACGTCTTAGGCTCAATTTACATGGCTACGGAACGGAATGGAATCGAATTTTTATAAAGAAATTGTACATAGTGAATTGAATTTTACGTTAATTGTCTTCTGTGTGTGTGGAATTCCCGCGCATTTTCGAGAATTCCCGTAGCTACTGTCGGCGCAGTCTGTGGAATCCGCGGGGAGTGGCGCGAAGAGTGACGTTTTTTCATTTCTTCCATAAATCATGAACGCAAATATTTCTGTTCCTTTTGCTGATATTCTTCCTTTTCTCATCATCTTCTTTTTCTGCCTCACAAGTAAGCAATATGAAAATAATATCCAATCAACCATTCTTGTCAAATAAAAGATTTAGACTAAATAACTGTACGGTGCACATGCTAGAGTTTTCCCGCGAATTCGCGCGACGAGGTGAAACAGACGCTTCCGTTCTATTCCATTCCGCCGCAATGTAAATTGAGGCTTAAGGCGTTGTGTAGCAGTTGCGTGCAGCTGTAAGTGGTGTTGCGGTGTGGTGTGGTGTGCGCAGTGTTCCGCAACGCGTCGGGCGTGCTGCGCAACGCGTCGTCGGCGGGCGAGTACGCGCGGCGGCGCCTGCGCGCGCTGCCCGGCCTGGCCGAGGCGCTGCTGCACGCCGTGCGCGCCGCCGTGCGCGCCAACGCCATCGGCACCAAGATCGTCGAGAACTGCGTCTGCGTGCTGCGCAACCTCTCCTACAGGTCACTCTAAATATTACACTCTCAAACACACCTCACACTACCATCACAATAAAATACTCTTTATTTTACACCAAGTAAAAAGAAACAAATATTCAGAGAAAAACAAAAGCAATCTGCAATCTCTTCCAGACAACCCAGAAAAAGAATTAAATAAAAATAAAAGAAAGGTTAAAGGGTAGGGTGGACTAAAATAAGAAAATATACCAACTTATGCACTAAAATAACAACATACTATAAATAGATGAATTATAGTAAAAAATCCAAATATGGATGCCTTAAACACATTTAAAAAAATTACGTATAACATGATTATATCTACATTTACACTTAAAGTAGTTAAAATACACACAAGTTTTCACTAACAACCTTATTACTACACTTCCAATTTTCCGATAATTTTATGTCATAATGCTTATATGAATGCACGATTCGTAATGCTCATATGATTTTTTTTTTTTTATATGAGAGGGGGCAAACGAGCATGCGGCTCACCTGATGGTAAGTGACTACCGCCGCCCATGAACAACCGCAACACCAGGAGAATTGCAGATGCGTTGCCGGCCTTTTAAAAAGGAGTAGGCTCTTTTCTTGAAGGTCCCTAAGTCGTATCGGTCCGGAAAAATCGCTGGTGGTAAACTATTCCACAAGGAAGTTGTGCGAGGAAGAAAATATCTTCTAAATCGCACAGTGGTGGACCGCCAATCATCCAGATGGTGTGGATGGTATCGGGAGTTCTGCCGCGATGTGCGTTCGTGAAATTTGGCGGCTGGGATTAATCCGAACAATTCCTCAGAGCACTCCCCATGGTAAATGCGAAAGAAAATGCTAAGAGATGCAACATCTCTTCGCAGTGCCAATGAGTCGAGCCGATCGGAAAGGACTCGGTCGTCGACGATTCGAGCCGCTCTGCGCTGGATGCGGTCAAGTGGAAGAAGCTGACACTGGGGAGCCCCAGCCCAGAGATGGGAACAGTATTCCATGTGAGGCCGAACCTGCGCCTTGTAAAGTTGCAGGCGTTGAGCCGGCATGAAATACTGTCCCGCTCTGCTGAGCACGCCAAGCTTTTTAGAGGCCAATTTGGCCTTCTCTTCCAAGTGACCACGAAACTGCACGCTACTCGATATGTCGACGCCAAGGATTCCGATACTGGCTGAGGCAACAAGGGGAGTACCTTGAAACTGAGGAGATACGACAAAGGGGTTCTTTTTAGCGGTAAGGTGATAGTGAAAAAATAAGTAAATTGTAGTTCTATTCATTAAATAGTTCCAATAGTAGTCACCAAAGTAAACTTTCAAGTCACTCCGTCAAGTCCGAAGGTAAGGTCTATTCATAACTAACTAAACGAGCCCAAACTCAGCACACCTATGACTATTACTACTCTTCGAGGAGTTCCAGTAGCATTTACCGAAGTACACCTTCAAGTCGGAGTAAGGTCTCATCGTAACTAACATAACGAGCTCATTCTCGGCACACCTAGTTTTACTCGACGAGGTGTTCCAGTAGCAGATATCAAAGTACACCTTCAGGTCTTCATAAAGTGCAAAACGTATAAGTATATTTATATATAAATCGTTCATACTTTTAGCGAAACAAAATCTATACAAATAAATAAAATTGAAATGTCTGTTTGTAATATCAAAATTACAGCTTTTTACTAAATGCATATAAAATATATACGGTACTAATAACAAAAATACAATATTTAAAGTTTTTGTCTGTCTATCTGTCTGTCTGTCCATTTGTCAAATTGTGAAACGGCTGAGCCGATTTTGACGGGATTTTCACTGGCAGATAGCTGATATCACAAGGAGTAACTTAAGCTACATTTATTTTAAAAAAGAATTAGGGTTCCGTGCAAAAAAATTATAACCCTAAATAACACGCGGGCGAAGTCGCGGAGAACAGATAGAACAGATATTGTAATAAAAATCTGTGATTATAAAAATAATAATAATATCATACCTTTGTTAAGTAGGTATCAAATTTGGTTTTTGAAATATTTTGTGTTTCTAAAGCGATCGATATTTTTCAGCACGAACCGCTGTGAACAAATGACCACTCACGACGGCGGTTGAGCCCGGAGTACAGTACAGTAAAATATTCTGTGACCGGGAGTGAGGCAAAGTGTATTTAGTAAAATGAATTAATATAATAAAAAATTCGTTACATAGATTACCTCCTAATAGATACCGCATCATTGAATATTTGTTCTGTTTCGAGTTCACCAAATTTGGCCCTATGCAAGGGTTGCGGAGGACGTGGCAAATGCGCTGTGATTGGATAATTAAAGGTCAAACTTAGAATGTACCAAACCATAGTGATGGAACAGGGTTGGGACGTTGATTGATAAATTTGGGATTTATTGATTATTGATAATGATAAATAAATATATTGATCAATTTTTATTTGATGTTTATTAAAAAATTAAACATTGTATACATATATTTGTACATTTAATTTATAAATATATATTTGACTGATTTTTAAAATGGATAATTTTAGTATAAAATTGTCTCACAAAATTCTTAGGATCTGTCTTCCTGGATGAGTAGAGTAATCTTACGAGTATGTCTATGTACTTTTACATAACACTCTTAGCTAAATCAATGACATGATTACAAGTTTCGTGATCGAATTGGTGATTTTTTATTTCATGAAAAATATCATCATTAACAAAACTGCTTATTTATTTATATTTATTATTTTTATTATATATATATATATATATATATATATATATATATATATATATATATATATATTATTTTATTATAATTATTATTTATAATTAAGCTTAATTGATTGTGTTAAAACTACAAACTTTCCTAGTGTTTTTACAGAAGGTAAATAAGTATTAAATGTTTTGCGTACATAATTATAAGCCTAGCTGAGTAATTTATGGTGAGTGCAAAAGCTCTTAATTGTGGTGAATATCTTTTTCTAACAATTTTGCCTGATTTTCTAGATTTTGATTTTTCTAAGGAACTTAATGCGTCATTGTTTTCCGCTGCTAATGAATTTTTGTTTTCTAATTCTACCAATAATGACTTCAAAGAAACTATTTGTGTTTTAGTCTTCTGTTGGAATCACTTAACTTTTTAACTTTTTTATCTTTTTTGTTCATTACGTTGGTTAATTCGATGATTCTTCTACAAAGACGTTTTTAACTGGAGTATCAAATGCAGATGGCGTATCAGGTATAGGAGAAAATTTTCTTTTTTGTTTTGTAGGCGTTTCTAAGCAATGACTCTGATTTTTAGGTGTTGGCGAGTTTTTCGCGCCTTTTAGCGGTGAACCAGTAATCTAAATCAGAAATACATATTCGTTTCTTTTAAAACATTACCGATATAGTATTATTAATTAATACACCATACGGCACGTCTTCCAAATTTAGATGTACTTAAAAATTATAATAAGATTATACTGAAGTTCATGTAACACTAAATACCAAGTCAAAACAATAATCACATTATAACTTTTACAAGTTTTATGATTTATAAATCCGTTCAAAATAGCTTGATTTCGACGTGTAACATTTACCTAATTATAAGAATATCATGTTTCACTCAACCACTTAATGATATTATTGTGTAATCTACGTTAGTACTAATCTTTAAAAAAAAATGCAAAAGTCCATACCAAAACTGGCAAGAATCCAACAGCTTTATACGAGTTTTCATAATATTATGAAGATTGTCTTCTGTGAAGTGTTTTGTGCATAGTACACTATTTTTGGTGGGAAACCATTCGTCCCCTCGACAATTTGCGTCGATCCACATCTTTTTTCCTTTCGGGGCATTTAGGAAATCTTTAACATATAGGTACCACAATGATACGTCACTATTTTTATAAAATAATATGACTTCGAAAAAAATAATTAAACGATGACCAAACAAATATCGACTTAAAAATCACAACACTATCGATACACGTGCTGTTGTTAGACAAAGACAACTATTGTAATTTACGTAACGAGTGAAAGGGACATTTCAAAAAGACATCAACGGGTGCTTAATTGTTATCACTTTGCACCATTAATATACCAGTATAAGTTGATCTCCGGTGCATTTGAAATAGGTTAACGTGATAAGAATAGAATTTACTTACCAATTAAAATTTATGCCATCTTTTTGATAACTGGATGTCTTAGCTGACTTGTCACACCATTTTACTGCACAGGAAGCCATTTGTAATGTATTTTGGATACAAAACTATTTTTAAATTGTTAAAAACTCGGACGTGCCTACGGATCACAAACTTGGTCGATACTGATGTCGTGATTCTTAGCTTCGCTTCGTATGCTAGCTACAGCAAGTATGTGTTGCGCGCGTTTGTGGCCCTGTATGCGGAATCTATTAGGAGGTAATCTATGTTTCGTTATTTCTCGGCCGAAAAAAAAATTATAGCTAAAGAAAACAAAATTAAACTGCCGTTTACATTCCGTGGTTTTCCACATGATAGACGAAGAGTTTAAAAAAGAGATTGAGTTGAACAATTGTTATTTTCAAAAGTTATCGTGTTTACGCCACCATGCGGACTCGACAAATCTATACCTTAAGCCACTAAAACCGCTTTTTTATGAAAAAATAACAATTGATCGATTTAAAATAACAACAATAAGGTCAACAATCGTTTATCTTTCTGACAATGTGTTTTTTATATCATTTATATGTTCAATAATGATTGTTAGATAGGATTTCACGCAACAAAACGTTGGAATTTTGATTTTTAGGCGCTAATAGAACATACCTACGCGCTTTATGCTTAAGGCATGCAATAAAAGTAGGAAGAGAGAGGGATTAGAGAGACCAAATAGAAAATTGGAAAGTCCTGACAAATAACCTGATTTCCATAGAAAAAGTCCGGACATTTTGTTGCAAACGTTATTAGAGAAAATAAATGAATCAGTTATTGGTTTTGTATACTCAAGCACTCAAACCACGTCGCAAACTCCATCTCTCCCATGTGAAATATCTAGTGTATATTATTGAAGTACTGAAAAAGGTTGACATTTCCAAAATGTGACCACAATTCTGACATATGCCATATCTACGTGAAACTATTTATTTCTACTAGTGATAGTTCGATATTTAATATACAAAATATAAAATTTCTGCTTTTTTGAAATACACTCCACAGACTATTGAAAAAAAAAAACAAACAAAAAAATCACACAACATTCACAGCTCATTCAGTCAATTCAATTCAATTCCATTTATTCAGAACAATACAGGTACATTGTGTAGGATACATAAAGAATTATAATTAATTAGTGCTTAAGCAACAAAATAGTAAATTTTTAACAATAGTAATGTCATACAATAATACAAATCAAGCAATCAATCTGTTAGTAATTATTTATTGACATTTAAAAAAATGGTGATAATCTTGAAAAAGTGCTCTGAGGAATTGTTCGGATTAATCCCAGCCGTCAAATTTCACGAACGCACATCGCGGCAGAACTGCCGATACCATCCACACCATCTGGATGATTGGCGGTCGACCACTGTGCGATTTAGAAGATGTTTTCTTCCTCGCACGACCTCCTTGTGGAATCGATTATAAGAATAAGGGTGGCAAACAAGCACATAGTCCACTTAATGGTAAGTGGATTCTGTGGCCCATAGACATCTACATCTATTGTCTTAAGAATGAAAATACAGATGGTCTCTGGTTCTCAACACTCACCATACAAAGCACACTTTTGCCGTAGTAAGCACGGCGTAATAAAATCCACTACCCCTATTATTCCGTCGGTGTCGTAAGGCGAAGGCAACAGATAGATATGTAACAGGAGATAGGTAGGTATCTTCCCAAATAAATGAAACAATCTATGGGAGAGGCCTATGTTCAGCTAAAACATCAGCATATGATTATAGTTTAGAGGTTCAATTAATTCTATAATATTATACCTTGCAGGTGTCAAGAGATCGAAGACCCGTTATATGATACGAGAGCTCCACCGACACAGTCTTCTGGACAGGCCAGGATACAAGCCAGCGCGTCTAAAGGTATAAAAAAAGCAAAGATAAGATTTTTTCTAAATTAATTTATAGATTTTCTTCAGCTTTTTAATTTATTCTTGAAATTTAATTTACAATGAAATGAAAAAACTGGATTTTTATTTTCCAGGCGAGAACCTTGGTTGCTTTGGTGGCAGTAAAAAGAAGAAGGAAGGATCGTCATCGTCGAACTCCACCAGTCCACTCGGCAAAAGCGATCCCGACTCGCAGCCGCTCGGGGAAACTGGCTCCAATACGCAGCTCGGATACAGTGTTCCCAAGGGCACAGAAATGTTGTGGTCACCTGAGGTTACTACGTTTTTTATTATTTTTAAAAGTATATTTCTATTAATAACTCAAAACATTGTAATATGCTCATTTATTTTTCGGTTATTATTACTTTAATTTAAAACTTGTTGAATTCAAATCCTTTAGTTTGATAACTAAAAATAAGGTAAATATTTTTTGTTTGAGGTTGTGAAAATTCTATAAAAGGAAAAATTACAGACAACGCAGCGCAATAGTAAAGGCGCGCAATATGTCCCATATGCGCAATGTCACTAAGTTCAAACTCGCAAGTTTGCTATCAGAGTGATCCTTCTGTTCCTCCACTATTATTATTTATTCTGTGGTATAAGCTAGTTTTAAAAGACAGGGAAAAAACGGTAATGTTCATCTTCTTCTTTATAGTTATAAATAGTTCACTGTCAGACATAAGTCTCCCGTACGAGAGATTTGCCTAAACTGGCTTAGCGATCATATTGCGACATTTTTTTTATAGGAGAAGGGTGACAAACGAGCACACAGTCCACCTGATAGTAAGTGGTTGCTGCGGCCCATAGACATCTACATCTATCTATTACAAATCAAAATGTAGATGCGTTGTCACCCGTGAGGACTAAGATAGAATGCCTCATTTCCAGTAAAAGGGGCCTCCGGCCACCTGCACTCACCAAGCGAAACGCAGAGGTAAACCTCTACTTCACGCTGGTTTTCTGTGAGGTCGTGGTACCACCCCGGTTCGAGCCGACCCATCCGTGCGACAGCAAAAGCTGCCGCGTGGCTCTACCACTGTTAAAAATTCATCATTAAATTCATCATCGTCATTTTATGTGGTTTGTCTCTTTCGTTTGCTATTTAGTGAAGAGAGAGAGAGAGAGAGAGAGAGAAAGAGAGAGAGAAAGAGAGAAATTACTTTAAGCATTACTTCAATTGACGTTGATTTGAATGATTAAGGTTGTTTATACATTAAATAAATTTTGTATGATTGCAGGTGGTACCGTTATACATGGCATTGTTGCAATCTTGCTCGAACCCGGAGACGTTGGAAGCGGCGGCCGGCGCGCTGCAAAACTTAGCGGCCTGCTACTGGCAGCCTTCCATAGATATACGAGCCGCCGTGCGCAAGGAGAAAGGTTACATTCCATTACCAGCATGATGTAGGATTTAACATGCATTATTTTTAGTGTTCCACGCTACAAAGACAAAAAAGTAATTCCGTATGTGTTTCGCTAATTAGTTTTATCTAAATGTATTTGACGTAATAATTTGAACTATTTGGGGTGACCGAGCTTCACTCAGCATGAAAGAAGAAGGGACGACACTTGTCTAGATAAACGTGGAAAGTGAAACCTTATCTAATTACAAAATTTCATTCAAATCGTTAGAGCCGTTTCCGAAAAACTTCACCTGAATTGCTCACTGAAAAAAAAACAAAGACTTAGTGATGGCAATTGTGGGCATAAAATAAACATTTATTTTATTTTTGAGATATTGGAAAAATTTAACAATACTTTTAACATTTTTTAATTTAGAAAATCAAATTGCCTATAAAATGTATTATATTATATTATGTTTACTCTGTAAGTATATTTTACGTCGTTTTATATTTATATGTATATATTTATAAGATAAGGGTGACAAACGAGCACACAGTCCACTTGATGGTAAGTGGTTGCTGTGGCCCATAGACATCTACATCTATCTTCGATTACGAATCAAAATGCAGATGCGTTGTCACCCGTGAGGACTAAGATGGAATGCCTCATTTCCAGTAAAAAGGGGTCTCCGGTTCTCTACACTCACCATACAAAACACAGCAGCGTTAAGCTGCTGTTTTACGCTGGTATTCTGTGAGAGCGTGGTCCTTCCCCTGTCGAGCCGGCCCATTCGTGCTACAATTACACTAGTTTAACGAAGATCGTATCCGAGGCGGTTAAACTATTATGAACATTAGCGACGTTGTAACTAGGTTTGAACTCGCAAGTTTGCTATCAGAGAGTGATCCTCCTTTCTTGTACTATTATTTATTCTGTGATATTGATTGAAAAAGTTTGGAGTTTTCAAGTCAACTCGAAATAATTTCGCATTTTGATTTTTATTTATATATATAGCTGCACCATGGCTCTACCACCTACAAAAAATATGTGGTAAACAAGTCATGCTATATTATGCAGCTATATGATGGTTGTAGCACGATCTCACAGGATACCGGCCTAAAATAGTAGCTTAATTCTGTTTTTTTTTCGTATGGTGAGTGTAGAGGGTCTCTACCCTTATTATGGGAAACTAAGCATTCCATCTTAATCCTCAGGGTGGCAACGCATCTGCATTTTGATACTTAATCGAGAATAGATGTAGATGTCTATGCATCCACTTACTTTCAGTTGAACTGTGTGCTCGTTTGTCACCCTTATTCTATAAAAAAAATATTTATTGGCAGACTTCTTTTCTGAGTATATTTAGTATAGGCGAGTGGCTTCCTCTTAGGCTCTTTTACGCATTGTATTCATAGGCTGCAGTATCCACTTATCATTGGATTGATTGTTACGTCATTATTCATTCTAATATAACCGAAAATAATTGTTTACGGTAATGGTGTAGCCTTTAAGCTTAAGGGCTTTTCGGTCGGCTTAAATCACGCATATTTGGTTTTTTTGTTATAGGTTTACCAATCCTAGTAGAGCTACTGCGAATGGAAGTCGATCGGGTGGTATGTGCAGTAGCCACGGCGCTCCGGAACCTGGCCATAGATCAGCGCAATAAGGAGTTGATCGGCAAATATGCTATGAGGGACCTCGTACAAAAACTACCCAGCGGGAATCAGCAGCATGATCAGGTCAGTTTGATTACTTAACCATTCCACGGCCCCGTGAGTCATATATGAACATTTCAATTGTTTAACTCTTGTGGTTTTTGCGGACAGGGAAGTGGTTAAAATGATTGTTACACATTTAACGAATCGTAGCCTAACAGTAAAAGAAGTGTGCCGTGTGTGGCGTAGTAGACGGCTATTACCAGCACTAGAGAGAGATGCAGGAAGTCGGTGGATGCAGGTGGCTCAGGAACCTGCTTAATAACTTTTCTTAGGGTAGTTCTATTTTCAGCAGTGGAGTTGTGAAGAGCTGTAATGATGATGTTAATGATGATGATAAATGGATATGTTTTCAGTTCAATCCCTATATGAGATAGTCCTTTTTACTAGGTGGTAATAGTTTGGAAAGTAAAGGAGTCCGTCTTGGGAGGTATCATTCTCTTGCCTACTTCAACCGCCAAGCAGCAGGGCGTGCACTGTTGTGTTCCGGTCTAAAGGGCTTAGAGAGTAAGCATGATTACAGGCTGTGAGGCATTCCATCTTAGTCCTCAGATGGCCTTCTTCGTTTGAAGTTAGTTCCAAGTATCTTTGAAGTGCAGGAGCTACTTACCATTAGTTGGACTGTAAGCTCCTTTGTCACTTCAATTTTGTAAAAAAAATGCTCCGTATTCGGGTTACAAGAACTCTACTTACGTACTGTTACTGTTACCGTTAAGGGTACATCGGACGATACGATAGCGGCGGTGCTAGCAACACTGAACGAGGTGATCAAGAAGAGTGGAGAATTTTCGCGTTCGTTGCTCGAAGCTGGCGGGGTAGAGCGTTTGTTAAATCTTACGAAGCAACGTCACCGTCATACGCCGAGAGTGCTAAAGTTTGCTGGTAAGTTAGAATGCTATTTAATAACATGACTCTACAAGTATTTACATGGTTATTGGCCAGTACAATTATATCTTGTCTATTTTTCTACGAATTCGGCCTTATTACATAAAGTAGTTATAATTAAACTTAAGCTGGAATTGGTTTCGCGAAAGAAGTCCCGCGGAATAATTCAAAAATGAAAAATGTGAAGTCTAAAGTTTATATCAAATTTCGCGAAAACTGTGGTGCTACGGTTATGTAACTTCTTTAGTTAGAACGTCTCATTTTAAACCATAGATTAAACCTGAGACTATCAATAAACCACAGACGATTTTTAATGTTCATCAAAGTCATAACTTTGATGAACATTAAAAATCAAAATGCGAAATTATTTCGAGTTGACTTGAAAACTCCAAACTTTTTCAAGCATTATCACAGAATAAATAATTCAAACCTAGTTACAACGTCGGTAATGTTCATAATAGTTTACCCGCCTCGGATACGACTTTCGTTAAACTAGCTTACCGATTAAATCGTCGAAAAAATTAATGTGTATTCAATCAAAATGCACCTTACGTCCGCGTGCACTTAGCCCGTTACGCGCCTTTTATAAGTCCACTCCTACTTTAGGGTTAGATGTTGTGAGAAAACAAATTACTTTGATATTAGTTGGTAATAGAATACACCGAAGTTATGTAATGTATTAATTATTTGCTGATAATAAGAACATTATTGTTCAATATAAGTAAGGTTAATATGCAACATCGAGAAAAATTAAGATTATAACAATCTGAACGTTACGTACTAACCATTTAAACTGACTTCAAAAAAGGAGGAGGTACTCAATTCGCATGTATTTTTTTAAAGTGTGGATTCGAACCCTCAGCCTTTAGCGCTGCAACTTATTGCTAAGTCACTGCGCCACGAAGCAGTCACTTGTCTGTTTCACATTTTTTTGCTATTTATAAACATGCGACACGCGATAGCATTATTAATGAAAGAGTGGTAATAAGAAGTGCTTCTATTTTCAATCTCTTTCTTTTATTGACCAAGTAAGTGTTTAACTAATAATATGTATTAGTATCTATTGTTCTAAAAACCAGTATATGCTGATCTTGTATTAGTAGGATGACACTAGTACAGGGACGTCTATTTATACTGAACGATTTTTTAACGTCAATGCCGTTATATGCGAATGAATCAGTCGGATCGCTAATTAAATAATAAATCTGTAACTATGGCGTCTGTAACCAGGTACCTAATTATCTACATCTACCTATAAATAATAATATCTTATCTTTCGATGTGCTTAGGAACATTAAGGAGACAATTTTAATTTATTTATTCATTACGTGGATCCTATTTCATTCCAAACGAAATAACTTAAGAGATACTCTTGCGATATTATATAATCTTAATGATTTATTTATCCAGGTCAAGTTTTGATGACAATGTGGTCGCACGCGGAACTCCGCGAAGTGTACCGCAAGCACGGATGGCGTGAAGCAGACTTCCTTACTCCAGCCAGAGCGGCACAAACTCGCAGCTCTTCCAACAGTAGCGGTTAGTATCAACATTGTTTACTTTGCTCTCAATCGGTCTGTGAATACGGTCAATAAAAGAGTGCTGGCATTTTCTTCGTGTGTCCATGTGTTGTGTATTTTAATGATTTTATTGGAATTGATGTTTAAAAAGTTACTACATAATCAATTAATGCTTATTTATCTAAAGCCTTGTTTGGTCAGACTTGTATTATATATAAGATGAACTGGGTATGTTATAACGTGAACACAAAGATTGCGTCGGTTTATTTTGTGTGTGTGTGTGTGTGTGCGTTAATGTTCATTTTGTAAGTACACTGAGATTTGATTACGTGCGCATTTTCATCTGTGGTGAATATATCCATATCATTACGCCTATATCTTAAGTCTGGTAGCGGTACTAGCATTTATTTAGTGCAGATCATTAACATGCTATCCATACAGTGGATAAATCTGTATAACATATATTGCACACGACTGTACTCAGCCATACTCATTCGTATGTTATCATCTGATGATATACGAGAGATCAACACTTATCTGACGCGATTGTACATACCGCACGCACCGCTATTAACCATTGTTCGTTAAGGCGATGTATATTCGCTGATGCACAGTTATAATGGAAATTATGATGGGTGATTTATATTTCAGCGGTAACCATAACCTGATATTCAAAAAATATACACTGTACAAGGCTACTGTCACTTCACAATAAAAAAAATGCATCCGCATCTTTTCTAAAAGTGACTTTATTACTGTCTTTCACAAGTCCACTGCTTAACATAGGTCTTTTAATTAATGTCTCAATTTTTCTAGTCTTAAAATGGGCAAGCTCCAAATATTTTAAAATTAAATATTATAACCCATGTTACCATTGACCTTTAACGACTTTTTTAATGTATATAGCTTGATTTAAAAAAATGCAGATTCGTCTTTATTTTTATGACGGCAGTACTGTACTGTACGCAGTCTTATTCATTCAGGTTTGTTTTGTGGACGATGTAGATCATGTACATATTGGCGATGAATGTTAATTTTAACAAACCATGCACGCGACCGTACATGAATCTGCATTCCGTTAATATATCGGCCGTGTGTGCATATATATTCGGACAGTGATCCTGATACGAGGTTAAAACACTTATTGCACGCGACTGTACATGCCTTTCATCACAAAATAAAGAGACCACACAGAAGTAATGTTCATTTATGTACTTTACCTAGACGCGGCCGTAGTACTAGGGTTGTTGGTTACGACTAACGTAAAGGTGCATTGTGATTTAACGTACTTTCCGATCTTCAATTGATTTAACTAAAATTTGATATAAGAACATATTATATAGCTTTGCTGCATGCTTGTAATAATATGGTACCATTGTCACTAAAACATGATTTATATTTGAAATTTATTTTATAAAATGTAGTTTCCTACTGTAGTATTGACACGACAGACATTATTTAAGGTTTTTAATAACACTATTTGAAAATTATGTTGTTTAATTGAGTGTCGTTAATGAAACAGGAAGTACAAATAAAAACCAATAAATTATAAAATTAAGATTTATGCAATAAATTACATTGATTTATTGAGGTATAAGTTTTTCTTCCGTCATATATATCTCTCTTAATAATAGTAAAGAGAATACGAAAACTAAATTGTATTAAAGCGTATGCCAACAGCCCGTTACACTTGCTTTCGCATTGTTCTGAGACGATGATGTTCATGAGTGGTGTATCCATATACGTTGCTGCATAAAGCTTTACTTCTGTACTCCATTTATTTTGTGGTTATGTCATGAGATTCGAAAGTAAACAACACTAAATGCACGCGACTGTACATGCTGCCCACTGCCTTCCTACATTTGTGTGGGCGATGTACATTCACGCGGTGGTCATGAGATTCAAAAGTGTATAACACTCGTTGTACGCGACTGTACATGGCGCACGCTGTGTTTCTTCATTCGTGTGGGTGATGTACATTCGCGCGATGAGCATGAAATTCAAAGACATACAACATTCATCGCACGCGACTGTACATGGCGCACGCTGCCTTCCATTAACATTGTTCGTGTGGTCGATGTGTACATGATTCGCGCTATGGTCATGAGATTCGATTGTATATAACATTCAGTGCACGCGACTGTACATGTACATGGCGCACGCTGCCTCTCATTAACTAACATTCGTGTGAGCGGTGTACATTCGCGCGGTGCACGTTTATGACGCGGACGCACGCGGACAGGTCAGGGCACGCCGGCCGGGGCGGCGGGCGGCAACGCGCCGCACTCGCCGAGCAACGCCAACAGCACGCTGAGCCGCCCCATGGCTTCCACCGGCGGCACCCGCTACGAGGACCGCACCATACGCAGGCATCGTGAGGTAACCGGGGCAGTGGGGAAGAGGGGGGGGGGGGGGGAGTTGGGGGTTGCAGACATTCCATTGCTTTCCTCATAGTGGCTTTCAGCCTTCATACTGTGCTAATCGTTCGGTTGAGGTGGTTTTGTTATGGTATTTGATATGAAAAGAAAGTAATTTTTTTATAGAATAAGGGTGACAAACGAGCACACAGTTTACCTGAGTAAGTGGATACTGTCGCCCATAGACATATATCCTATAGAGATCTCTCTATGGGCCACAGCAACCACTTACCATCAGGTGGACTGTGTGCTCGTTTGTCACCCTTATCCTATAAAATAAAATGCAGATGTGTTATCACGTCTGAGGGCTAAGATAGAATGCCTCGTATCCTATAATTTTAATTTTCAAAAATTAAAGTTTTATTTATGCACATACCAATTCAAATGTTAGTCATTTTGCAAAATATATAACAGAAAATCAAAAAAGATATTTTGTGGATTAAATGTTGAGAGTTTTGATAAATTGTGTTCCGTTAGGGACGATTATTATTAATCAAAATTTCAAATAAAAAAATAGCCAAATCTATTCTCTTCATAATTTGAATTTGGCGTTTTCAGAACGATGATATCCCAACGATGGACGTGAACAATTATCAGGACGGCTTGGGCATGGGTAATCCGAACGGGCGGCCGATGAACTTACAAGGCGTTCAGGCTCAAATGCCGATGCCGCCTAGCAGTCGTTAGCCGATACAAATCAAAGGTGGGCCTCGACTCAACACTTGACTTCGTGGGAACAACTTACAGACTTCTGTTAAAAGTTTCGTTATATACACCATGAAGGCAGTTATCGTTTTTTCTTGGAATTGTTTTTCCTTAATATTATTCCATTGATGGACAAACGCTTATATATCTAAACATTAATTTGCAAAGCAATTGTTTTAAATGTTAAATTTTATGATCAAGTGACAACGTTTATTGTATTATACTTATTTATTCTGATTATACTTCTTGTACTATCATTTATTATGTGATTATAGTCAATATAAAACATTAAAATCAAACAACTTTAAGAGCGCGTACAATGACCCCATCTCAAGAAAGCAATTGTGACTGATTGCCAATCAGCAAAATAATATATGAATAGTGTCCGAATGAGATGGATGACCGCGTCTTTCGAAGAGAGGCACCTTATAGGTGAATATAATATGAGATACTCTGTGAGTTGCGAACTGAATTGTATTTTATTTCATCGTTCCAAGAACTGCTATTTATTTAAATGTTTTTGTGGAGCGATCCTTTCACGATCTTGCTTTGTCTAAAGGTTGACTGGGAGAGAATGCCTTAAGGCACTAAGTCCGCCATATGTGCGATTTTATTTTTTGTGTATAAATGTTTAAATGATTATATTAAAAAAAAATCCTTCTGTACCTTTTAATATTAAGTATTCTGTGGTGTTCCTCCAATTATATGATACGAGCAGACGGACAGATACGTTGCCATAAACAAGAAGGAGAAGAATTTGTAGTTATGGTTGACATCGTATATAACTTAAAAAGTTAAAAAAAGGAAAAAAAAACTTCTTAAAATCTATCTTTTTAATTCTCTCTAATTTCAGTCAGTTATTTTATGGTTCCGTGTATTTTGCTAACCGTTTGTCTATCAATGATGATTTTGCCTTTTGCTTTAAGTGTTTAGTTAGATTCACGAAGTCAATATAGATATAATATTTATTCATTAGGTGGGAGTTCTTGCAAGGTGTCTATGAATATAACATCGACTTGTTTTCATTGGTCAACAAAAAATATATCGAATGGCGTACAATTTATAATATTTCAGTGATACTGTCGTTTCGTATGACTTACACTGTACGCTAAGTTTTTTTTTTCTAAAAAGGCCTATCCACTAAGAAAATATTACCGAATTTGCTACTCCCTATCGCACAATGCTCATATTATACATTTATATCTGGCATAGATCATCTTAATGTAGTGTTTCTTTGTAAAAATAAAATAAAAATAAAGTCAATTCCCCGTGTACATAGTCGTGCCATTCTTGTATTATTAACGTATTTAAAAGGGGTTTCATGTAGATGTTGTGTACTAAATTTAATCATTCGAGGTTCACCAAATTGACGGAAAAATATACGGAATTTCCATTCTTTTATATTATGTCATGTCGTAATATCCATTGACACTACATAGATGATACATTGTAGTCCCATTCTAATGTTTAAAACTCATTACATTTCTTATATTCAGGATTTGAACATTTTTTATTATTTATGAATAGTTAGTCTAGTAGTACGCTGTCCTATTCGAGCGCAAATCTCCAGCAATATTGAAACGATTTCCAGAATAGGGCTGTATAGATTATTAATGACGATATGATATACAACTTTGTAATATTTTGTATTCATTCCACGACCCTCTATGAATTAATTGTAATATAGGTGTCTATGGTCCTCTAATAAGTCTTAAGGAATATCCGTCTTATGTATATAGAAATAAGATTCATAAAACCAAACACATTTGTGTGGACTTTATATGATTTCTGTAATACGCTCGTTTTCTCTGTAAACTGGTCACTGCTGTGTACGTATTTGAGTGATCAAAATAAAGAATGGGATATTTGACAGTACATTTAATTAAAAAAAAAAAAACCAACAAGGGGTGTAATTTTCGGAACTTTGTCATCCTTAAATGCGGAATCAACAAATAAATAAAAAACCTAATTATAAATCAATTTAACAATGCGCTTCGGATTTCCATTTTACACAATAATAGTCGATAATAGAAGATAGATATATTAAAAAGCCGGAACTGGGAAAAGATACTAATATCGTAAATAATTAATATGCGTTAGTTCCCTGAGAATACATAAAGCTTGAAGCAGTTAATATGAACTATTAAAGCTCACACAGAGAATATTAAATTTACTTGTACTGTTCGAATTCCTGTTCTTTAAAATGTTACATGCAGATAAAATGGCGATGCAGAAGAGATCGCGTAGGCTTAATAAGCAGTCTGCTTTAAAGTATAGAGATTTAGACGATTACAGAGTGTTACATTTAAAAAAGCAATGGCGAAGGATATATTGTCAATAGAATATATTTGTAAGTATCTTAAAGTATTTAAAATATCTTTAATTACTCGGTATTTTAACCATCTTAATTTCGCTATCCCTATTAGTATTTTAGCCGTGATAGCTCAGATGGTTAGCGCTCGCTGTAAGCGCTCACAGTACTCTAGCAACCCGGGTTCGATCCCCGCCGGCACCAATGAAATTGTTAATTGCAATTTTAAGTGCTGATTTACCACGTGCTCGGCGGTGAAGGAAAACATCGTGAGGAAACCTGCATGTCTGAGAAATAAGAAAAAAAAATATTTCGAAGACATGTGAAGTTCGCCAACACGCATTAGGGCAGCGCGCTGGACAATTTCTTGCCCTAAAACCCTCTCAGAAATGAGAGGCCTGTGCCCAGCAGTGGGACGTAAATAGGCTGCAACTTTACATTTATTAGTATTTTGATATGTTACACTGAAAACAGTTAAGATACCATATTCCAGTTACATTATAATATGTATTGAGCTTTTAGTTTAGATATACAGTTTCGTGTGTAGGCTATCTGTACATTACATCCAAAAGAACTTATTCCAACGCCATTGTTTTCTTTAAACAAACTATTGTGGTTTAGTCTCGATGAGCAGGAGAAACAAGATTGATTGAGTTGTGAGTGACGGCAGCTTTATGGTTTTATTTTGCTCGATTACCCTCCGTTTGACTTTGTGTTAGTTTTATAGTTAGCGACATAAGTATTTATTTTTTTAACCCATTTAACTTACATCATATATAATTTTAGGTAGGCGGTAAGTGATAAGGGTTTTTATGATGAGATGATATTCTTTTTTGGATATATTTTATGCACAATAAATGCATTTCGATACGTCCGCGTCAGGATGGCGATGTTGACTGAGTAACCTGGTACAAACTACCCTCATCCAGTGCATTATATTGATTTAAGTACGTGTAAGTTTTGTATATTTTTATTATAAAAATGTAAACAAATATTATATTAACAGTTTTGATTACATCATGCTTGCCAGGGCAACGTCGCTTCTATGAAGCGATCTTTTTGATAATATTGTTTTCACAAAATAAATCTGTTTTCATTTAGGTAGGCTTAAGGTATATATATTGTATTTTTATTTAATTGTTCACTGTCACTAATGTACCGATTCATGTCGTTCACCTTCCATTACACAGATCTCTTAAAATTTCGAAGTAATTTTTAAGTCATAGTAGTTTCACGTGTACGGAGATCTTATCTAGTGTTATGCCATGGTATGAAAATAATATATTAATGTCTATGGTTTATCATAGATAATATAGAATTGTTGGAACGGTAATACTCGATTATTTATATTTTATTTAAAATTTTATATTAAGAAAATTATTTAACAAAAGCAGTCTTCGTTTGTCGTTAAGACGTTATGTAGAAATAATAAAATAGTTTGTCTTATGTCATGTTGTATGTAGATTTTAATAGAAAATTAAATATTCTCTTTTACATAAAAAATTATATTATACATACCTTTCACAGAGAATAAATTCAATGATTTTAAGTTGTTTTTTTTTTTGTTTCCTCTATTTATTTGTTCCTTTGGTTTAGTTTTTATACATTTGAAACATTTTAAAGTCTACTCACGCAGTGTATTGAGGGCATATTTTTACCATTCGATAATTAATTTTCACATGGGATGTAATAATAGTGAAATATTTAAAAAAAAAACATGGATTTGCTTAAAATGTTATAATTATAAGACTCAATATGGAATTACAAGTTTTTGGAAATTTTTACCATAAATACATTGATACTATTATATAAATGTAATATCGTTTGTTGACACTGTCATTATTTTAGTACCATGATTGTCCGATTTTCGTTTTTTATTTTAAATTATAATTTATGATTCCTTATAAGCTTTCACGTGAAGTTTTCTAGTTAATATTTTTTACTGAGTAAATATAATTGGGTATTAGAAAATGTTAGTAATATTTAGTATAATATTGACTATTGTAGAAAATGTCATTATTCATGGATAAGGACTAATTCCATAACCTCTCGATTTCTGAACCCAAAAAACAGTTTGAATTTCGAATGCGGTTTAAAACTGATTCGGTGTAAGAATTTCGTGGCAGTTGATTAATATGAAAATGCGTAAATTATAAAGTGAAAATATATCTCCTATCTGTATGAATGAATGCTCACGTTTTTATATATTTATCAGTAGTGTCCTTAACGTATTACTAAAATTAATCAGTTATTGAATTTATAGGTGTAATAGGCGCGTATTTGAAGTTGTATTGAATATTGTAAGTTGCATCTTAGAAAAGTGCACGGTTTTATTGGTGATGATGCGTTTTTTTACTATGTACTTATCGTACACTAATTGTTATGGCGGATGTTCTAAGTGTGGACACCGTGGCGTTACAATGATATTCCAAACAGTATTACTCTGTAATCTCATGTACCAACGTTGCTAATACACTTAACTGCATTTAAATAAAACGAGAGTTTTATTCTTATCCCTTCTTTATTTTAGCGGTATAAAATACCATTTTTATCGAAAAAAGAAGAACAATTACTGTGATAACTGAGAGCCGTAGTAGCTCCGGGATTGGATCGCATTAAATACCCCCGTAGTAGGTACGTGACAAATCAGTTCAAGCACAGAGTAAATAAT